GTACTAGGTACTTGTAACGACCCGACCGATTGTTTCGAGCTCTAGCACGTCATTCAGCGGTTTGAGACCATGAGCAGCTTCACTTCAAGTATTATGACTTGTACGCATGGTCGAAATTGGAATTTCAGAAGTTCGGAGTTGATTGGGAAAGAGCCTTCTCATTTCGGAAGCTTTAAGTTGGAAGATTCTAACTAATGTTAGACTTTGAGTAAACGACCTCGGAATCGGGATTTGAAGGTTCCAACAGGTTTGTATGATGATTTTGGACTTGGGAGTATGTCCGGATCAGGTTTTGGATGACCCGGGAGCGTTTCGGCACCTATTGTGGAAGTTAGCATTTTGGAAGAATTTCATAAATTTGGGTTGAAGTGCATTTCAATGTTATCGATGTCCGTTTGGAATTTCGAGTCTGAGATTAGCCCCGTATGGTGATTCCGGTATTGGGAGCGCGTCCGGAAGTGGATTTGGAGGTTTGTAGGTCATTTTGGAGTCGTTTGGCGAAAGTTAGAAATTTGAAGGTTTTTGAGAAGTTTGACCGGAAGTGAACTTTTTGATATCGGGGTCAAATTCCGATTTCGGAAGTTGGAGTAGGTCCGTAATGTCAAATGTGACTTGTGTGCAAAATTTGAGCTCAATCGGACGTGATTTGATAGGTTGCAACATCGAATGTAGAAGTTTGAAATTCTAAAGTTCATTAACCTTGAATTGGAGTGCGATTCATGGTTTCAGCGTTGTTTGATGTGATTTGAAGCCTCGAGTAGGTCCGCATTATGTTTTGGAATTGGTCGGTATGATTGGATGGGGTCTCAGGGGCCTCGGGTGGATTCCGAGTGATTAATAGATTGAATTCGGCCTTATGAAGATTTCTAAGCCTGCTGCCATCTGGTGTAATCGCACCTGCGAGGTTTTGGCCGCAGGTGCGGAGCCGCAGAAGCGGCCAAAGGGGCGTAGATGCGGTTTGGTAGGGAAGTGATGGGACCCCAGATGCGGTCATCTCGCCGCAGAAGGGAGACCGCACATGCGAAAAGGAAGGCGCAGAAGTGGAAGTGGGCAGCTGGGGGATAGACCGCAGAAGCGGTAGCTGGGCCGCACCTGCAGAACCGCAGAAGCGGTCAAGTGACCGCAGGTGCGAAAGTCGGGGCTGACAGTGTCTTCTTTAAAAAATGAGGGCTTGGCTCTATTTCATTTCATTTTCGCCCATGGGAGCCAATTTTGGAGCACATTGGAGTGCCATCTTCATCAATCATAATGGGGTAAGTGCCTTCTTCACAATTTTGAGTTAAATACATGAGTTCATCTAGATTTGAACATGGAAATTAGTAGAAATTGGGGTTTTGGTGGATAAATCTAGAATCTTGTGTATTTGGATTTTTACCACGAATTTTGGATATGAAATTGAGAATAAATTATATATTTGAGTTCGTGATGTCATGGGCAAAGTTTATCTTCGAAAATATTCGGAATCCGGGCACGTGGGCCCGAGGGTGATTTATCGATTTTTCAAACGGAGTAGGGAATTGTTGTAAATAGGATTATAATGACTAATTGAGTATATAATAATGAGTTTGCATAATTATTGACTAATTTTGGAGCGTTAGGCATCGGTTTGAGTCGTCGGAAGGGCTAGGGAGCCAGTTATAGAACTTTGGAGCGAGGTAAGTCTCCTTTCTAACCTTGTAAGAGAGAATTAACCCCATAGGTTAAATAAATTAATATGTGCTTTTAATTGTGGGGGCTACTAACGCACGAGGTGACGAGAGTCCGTACATAGCTACTAGCTATGCCTATATTCGGGTAGCCTAGGTTTACACCATACCTTATTGATATTACCATCGATTTATGTTTATTGTTTGCCTTGAGAAGAAGTAAGATTTAGGTTGAGCAATATTGTCTTGAAAGAATTGAATCTTGAAGAATCTAAGATTTAAAAGGTTTCATTTGAAATTCGTAATTTCGAAAAGAATTGAGGAATATTATAATAGCTTAAGAAATCTATGGGTAACCGTGTCGCATGTATGTTTCACGAGCGGGGTAATTTACTCAAAGTTTCAAGATGAATCTCCATAATTTTTAAAACAACCAAGAAAGAGGTGTGACTTAAATGTTAAATTTATATTTACCACGTCGCAGGTATAATTCGCGACTGGGGTAATTTCCTATATTTATATTTGACCGCGTCGCATATATGATTCGCGAGCGAAGACCGCGTCGCATGAATGATTCGCGAGCGGGGAAATAGATGCATCTATGGTTCGCGTCGTTCGACCCTCGGCAGTGCACAGTTTACTTTTATGTTGGATCGGGCTGTACGCCTCGACATTTCCTATATGTGTGTGTGTGTGTGTGTGTGTGTATCATTATTATGGAATCGTTCGTAACAATTGGCTAGAAGCCAGTGTATCTGAGGGTTTTTCCCTGATTTGAATTACGACAACCTCTTGATGATATCCACTATATCTACATATATATGCTCCAGTTAGGGAGGAGTAAAATTGTAAAGGGGGGAACTGTACCACGTATTTTATACATGTTTATTTCTTATATTTACTATGTTTCATATCTATTCACTTCCTTACTGTACCGGATATTATTGGACCACTAGTAAGTGTCGAAGTCGACCTCTCGTCACTACTTCTTCAAGGTTAGACTGGATACTTTCTGGGTACGCGTTGTTTTCGTACTCATACTACACTTGCTGTGCATTTTTATTGCACAGACACATGCATGTCTAGTGACCTAGTGGGCGCAACGGCATAGTTGATACGGAGACTTAGGTGAGCTGCATCTCTCGTGACGACCCGCAGCCAGCAGAGTCTCCTTCAGAGTAGTGGTATTTCCCTTTATGTCCAAATTGTATTCCGGACAGCTATTGTATTTTATTTTATTCCTTAGTAAACGCTCATGCACTTGTAACAACGGGTTTTGGGATGATCATGGGTTATTCAGTATTGTAATTGTTAAAACATTATTATTTATTTTGTAGAGTCCAATTTAAATTGAAGGAAAATCATGATTACAAAAATACTAAAACGAGAACTAAATTGATTATTTAGTGTTGACTTGCCTGACAGTGGTGTCCGGCGCCATTACGACCTTTAATAGAATTTGGGTCGTGACAGTACTTGAGTTGTATTGTTCAAGGTAGAGTTAACTTGAAGCAGTCGCAACAGTCGGTGGCTTGTTGCTACAAGGGTTAGAGTTTAATCTTTAGGTTTACAACAGGTTTATAGACATTGTTGTTTGGCTAAGAGTTGTAGTGAAGTGTATGGAAAAATCCTACTGGGAAGTAGGTCGTGGTTTTTTCACCTTTTGAGCCGGGTATTTTTCACGTAAATATACTTGTGTTCTTTACTTTCTGCATTATTTATTTCGCAATAATAGATTAAGGAACGCATAGAAGAACTAGATCCTTCAATAAACCAATACATGCGAAAATTGGACATCACACAAATCACCCCTCTAATGTGGTATTGAAGTATAAAACACCACACATAACAATTTTCATTCCATTGTAGAAAGTTGAAATTTCTAGTCTAGTTGAAAACTCAATTTCACATTTGAAATTCAAATACGGACATTATAGGGGACACATAATATTCTTTATGAAACGAGCTTTATGAACTTTTTATTATTCGTTAGATAAAACTTACAACGTTAAGCTAACATGAGAGGCTCATGTGAATATAATTCAAAATGTTTTATAGGATTTACTCATTTCTTATTCCGCAGGAGGATCCCTAATTAGGGTTAATATCCAATTTAATAATATATCCTTTAATTAGGGGTCCTCCAACTCTAGATTAGTATACAGTAATCTCTGATTAGCCTAAAAAGACTCCTAACTAACACAGTACATAATTAAGAATAACTGCAATTGGTATTGCATATATGAATATTATACTTTGTCTTGTTCTTAATTAAATTTGCATTATGATAAATATCTATCATGTACATATAAATAGATTAATAATTTAAATATCATAAGCCGAATAAAATTTAAATTCCTAAGCAAGTTTAAAGTTTTTAATTTAGACTCCCATAAAATTGAATAATAATATTAGGTTGAAGTATTAACTCAAAAAAAGCCGCCCACCCTACCAAAATATTAGGAGGTTCCCAACATAGGCGGCCCAGACGAATTTTATGGTCTAAAGCCAAACTTTACGAGGGACCTTAATTTTTTAATTTTTTTAATTATTTATTTGTAGTCTATTTTTTTTTAGCTTTTCTTAGACACATAGTTATTAATAATTTTCTTATAATCACTAACTCCTAATAAGTATTTCTCAATTGACAATAAGCTAATCCATTTAACCTTTCTTGTGACATTGTTATTCTTAGGTAGATTCTATCAATTTTAATTTTGGATACTTCTTTCCGCTGAAGCAACCGTAACATGAGTTATGAACATTATTTCATAAGTAATTTAGATATTTGGAAAAGAATTAAATCTTTTTATTTGATTAAGTATATCAATTAAACTGTTATCTTCTAATTGTACAATTTTCTTAATACTTTTTATCAGAAAATAAATCTAAACCATCAATATTGAATTGATTATTATACTTTAAGGAACATTCAAGATTAAGGCAATATTTTTTCAAATTTCCAACATCTAGTGATCCTAATTTTTACTACCAAATGGAAAACCAAAAATATTTTCATATCCTTCGAGTTTTTCAAATCTATTTTAAAGTTAAAAAAATAGCCTTGTCTATTATGTATAAAAGTAATTAACTCTAAAGGACTCTTCAAAAGATTTGAGATTTCATTATCAATATTCGTATCAAAATGTTACTTCCTACATATCATACATACGTTTCTTATGAAATTCGGGTTCGATATTCATTTCAAGAGTTCGAAAGTTCTTGAAATGTTCTTTTCACCATCTCATTTCTGTAATATATTTTCAGTAATAATATATATTTCTGCCATTCTTGTTTGAACCCCTAAAAGGAAACCAAACACGCCCCACGAAAAGAAAGAAAAAAACAAGAGAGAGAGAGAGAGAGAGAGAGAGAGAGAGAGAGAGAAAGAATTAGAGAAGGCGCCCAAAACCCAGAGTCACTCAAATTTCAAGTTACAGAAATAGCGAAAGAGCTTCTCAGACCCGAATGACCCTTTGATCCTATAAAGGTGTTGGCAAAATCTGCAGTTTCAGTGGGTAATGGACCTTCGTCCCAGACCGAGAAAACCTTTCTCTGGCTTTACTGATGCTGAGGTGCTTTTCCCTTTTCCGAATTTTGTTCCCGATTTTGTGCCCTTTTTTTTAAGAATGTTTTTTCAAGGTTTCGCCTTTATGGGTTCTTAAGAAATTTGATTAAGATGATGTTTATGTGTATTTATAGAGGTGTCCATTTCCAAATAAACTTGGTATCAGAGCATGCAATGCAGAAGTCTTGGTTTTAGTTTCATCATCATCATCAACAACAACAGAAAAAAAAAAAAAAAAAAACTATTGCATGTTTAGACATAAAGAAAAGCTTTCCCGTTTTAACAATTTAAGTTTTTCAGATGGAGTGTTCATATTTTATGTGTAAACCCTTCTTCACAATAGAGCTTATAAGTTATGTGTATAGCATTTCTACTTAGCTACAGAGTTGAAATTTCAGTACCTCTATCTTAGCTTGAAGCATGTATTTATGTATGATTATTTTGCTGGTCTAAAGCATGAAACTGATTAACATATTGGTTGAAATGAACAAACAAGTGAGGTTGATGTAGCTTTTGTAATACATCACACGGTTGGTTTGGCTTTAGGAAAGGTTATTGGTTTTACATGAGTACAGTCTCCTTTTTATCATTAAAATGAAAAAAAGAAGGAAAAAAACTGGTTTTGGTCTCATGCAGGACTGCTGGTGGCTAGTATAAGTTACTAGAAGTTATGTAAAATCTAGCTAAAGGGGTATATATTTCCTTTTACTTTATCAAAATTAAAATTTAGAAATTTTATGGTCTATGAAACTACTTTAATACGTTTGTGCAACCAGCAGTAATATATGGGAGTCAATGTTGAGCCTTATATCAACAAGATGGTGGTGTATGAATATGCATATTGATATGGATTTACATTTGTACCAGATTAAAGAGAAAATTAGTAATGATCACGTCCAACAGTGGATGCGAGTAGCAACGAAATTAAGGCTGGCTGGACAGTTTGGTCATGTACCGGTCTGGACGTGTGACAATATGATGATTGAGGATGTTAAAAGGAAGATAGATTTGCAATCACATGAAGGGAAGTTGTCTCAAAGACCTACATCTATAGAATCAATGCGAACTCAACCAAATGAACGCAAAGGATCCCTATAGATAATACTATCTAGTTTAGATTAAAGCTTAGTTGTTGTTACACTTATACTAGGTTCGGTGGTTGTTAGGAGTCTTTTAGTCTGACTAGAAGTGTTTATGTCTGTGTAGGGATGAATATGAGATTTAGGGAATCTCTAATTTGCCTTATAAGACTACTTATTGAGTATCAAAACAAAATAGACCTAAATAGAGCGAAATTAGAACAGAGAGTTCGCCTAGCTGCCCTAACTATTTTGGGATAGAGGATAGTTGATTAATTGGCTTATAAAACTATACCCATCATGCAAGATCTTGTAGAATTGCATGCTTGGTTGTTGATATTTGTGCTGTTTGTCATGCTTTATTGTAGAATTTTATCAATTCTGCCCGCTCACATTGTGGATCATAGTGATTGAGCAGTTGCGTCCAATCCTACTTGCTTCTTTGAGTTTGTGAATATATGATTGGTTCATTTTCTAGCATTGCATTATTGAGTTGCTTTAGAATGTTTCATGCCTTGGTTTCTACATCTGGAATCATTATATGGCAGGGGTGATAGAACTTATTAAAGACAAAGAAAAAGTTTCTTGAATCCAATTGTGGCTGTGGTTGTGGCTCTTATCTTGATTGTTACTTCACATTGTGATTTATTTATGTTGAGTTTTGACTTTCGAGAAAGGTTAAACTTTATATTAGAGATATGTACCTTTGACTAGTCATCCACATCTCCGTTGGCTTCTTTGGCCATTGTGAATTAATCATCATCTGGAATTTGCAAATGATGTCAATCGGCAGCTTTAAGAACACATGTTGGAAGAAACAACTCTAATTTCAGTTACTCTCTTCTAAATTGTAATCTTTTGGACATCTCTTTTTAAACAAGCAGATTGAGAAAATGGAGAAAGAACTTAAACAATCAGGAGAACAGGTTTGTGACCAAGAATTCTGCAAGAAATTGGCACAGGCTTTCAGGTGAGTTGCATTTTCTTGTTGAATAATCAACAAAATCACTTTGTATACATTTGACTTTTAACACATTTTTGGCATGTTTTCAGCCACTCTAAAGGTCGTGCAGGAAAACAGATAGTGAAATGGACTGAGGTTCATAGCTTGACATACTTACTCCAGGATCAGATATTCTTGGTTGAATGTCCATATAGAACTAAGTTCTACTATTTCACTTGAATTTAGGTCCAAACTTGGTTCCGGAACAGGCAGCGAAGTTGTCTCTCAAAGGATAATTCCGCAGAGGCCAAGAGGAAACTCCCTGATGTGACTGAAGAATGTGCTTTAGATAAAGCAATAACATTTCATATGCCTGAAGGTCTCTGTTGATCTATGTTTACTTTATGAAAGTAGATATCTGACATAATGATTAGATGAGACATTGTTTTGCGGGTGCAGAAATTCCCTTTTTCTTCTACTTTCCTCCCTTACTGACCATTTAAAAGTGAGAGTTGAGACTAATACACTACAATTGTTACTCTTCTCACGATAAGTTAACCATGCTACAAATTAAGGACCTTTGCTGCCTTCATATCCAGTAATCACTATTTCAAAGAATTGTTTTTGTGTTCTTAGTTCAGAAAAAAATCTGTTAATTTTTCTAGACTTCCTAGAATTATTGTGCTTCCCAGCTTCAGCTTGAGGTTATATTAGATTGGTATCCACAAGATCAGGGGTAGATTTAATTATGAATCAAGAAATTTTGTCAGAGCTATGCATTAGTTGATATCACACAGCTTTTCTGAACTGGTTATTGAATTAAACTGTACAATGCTACTGAATGAGGAACAACTTGTAGTCATTCTGCCTTTCATTCAGTTATTAATGTTGTATCTTAGTATAACTGGATTTGTTCCTCTTTCTCATTTATATAGTGCACTACCCTTGAAGGATTCTCAAAGTTGCTTTGTTGTGATTAGTATTTCAAACACCAAGCACAAAATTTAACAATTTTAGTTACATAATGCCGACAGTTGTATGATGTGTGATAATTCTGCATGAGATTGAACTTCTTATTAGCTGGGGGTGAAAATTTATAGCACACCTTGTATCCTTCTCTATCTATTCATAATCGTCCCTGAATTACTGTTGTTTCACAAGTCCTCTCAAAGAAGAAGCTACTTGTTTCAATTCCTTTTGGTCCTCTTCTTTCTTCCTTTTCTAAGTTTTTTTGCTTATCAAGCTACAGAGAGTCAAACTACTTTGTCCCTTGTATTCATTCTTTCTTACTTATTTCTCCTATTCTTGTCAATCACTTTTATCAACTCTAATGGAAGGCTTAACATCTCTTTAAAGTAACGTTTCCACTCATATTGACATCAATGGCGAAAGAGATATTTTTGTTGGTTTTCCTCCATCTAAAAATGCGTCTGATTTGATAAGAACCTTGTAAGTAATTGCCAAATAAAGAATTATCTAGGCATATGTTTCCTTTATTTGGTAGCTGAATCTCTTCTGCCAAATGCTTAGTGCTACTTATGGTCCCTTAACAGTTAAATCTGTGGTTCTTTTGTCAGAAAACTGCACTTACATTGTTCGATAAATTCCTTTCCAGGGCAAAAGGTTCCAGATTTGTCAGACTTAGAATTTGAGGCTAGGTCTTCAACAGATGGGGCATGGTAAGCCTACATTAGCAAGCCAGAAAGGCTTACTCTATTTTTCTTCAGTCAGAAATAAGTACTGGATAATCAGCCATTTTAGCATTAGCGTTTAGATGCTTGTTCATCATTTTCAGCATTTCACCTTGGATGCATTTTCAACCTTTTTTGCCCTTAGCCATTAACATAAGATGCAAGAATGAAATCTTGTTTGCATACTTCTGTTTCTAGTCTATCTTTTCTTTGACCTGTCTAAAAAATAAAGAAAAAGAGACAAGACAAAAAAAGAAGAAAGTTTCTCTTAACCGATGAGCAGCTACACTGATGCCGATGCAACTACTTGCGGATTGAATAGCTCAAAGGATTCCATAAGAATGACACTGTTCTGGAAAATAACATCCATTTTGAATATCTTACTTTTCTGTTGTTTGTTTATAGAAGTTCTCTAAGTTACTTCTTGGTGCTTCCCCCTTCGATAATGGTCAATGACTGCTGGTTGCAAAAAATGTTTTATGTTTTTTCTTTTGGGAGCTACATTAAGATCCTCCATCCTTATAAACATGCAATATGGTGGATATTAGGGAAATGTATTGAAGTTCTTACACTTTATTCTGTGGCCATTTTTTATGGCTAAAACTTGTCGAAGCCTACTATCATAATTTACTGCTAAATGGTTATCAAACATCTGAGAATTTGTCATATTCTCATAGGTCATTGCACCTTGTAGGGCTACCTAACATATTGTCCCTTTGAGCTGCCGAAAACTATCCAGGATCATAGAGGTTTTTGCTCCAGAATAATGACTTATTCATGAAACTGATGTTTTTAGATATCTTGAGTGCCAGGCCTTTTATTTAGGAGCTGCTTCTTAAATTCTTATCAGATAACTAACAATCAGAACAAGTAGTTTAGTAAGCTACCTGTCTATTCAAAATCGAATTTCAAGACTTTCAAAAGAATTTTTCTTTGACTTCTTAACAATCAGGGCAATATTATCCCGCTTAAAAGGAAAGGAGCAAAAGAAAGGGTAGGAGGTATCCATTTCCGTAAACTATATTTTCTTTCAAGTATGGAAATGTTTTGGTGATACCTAGTATTTTTCACTTGAATCAATGCATCTGTTGTGAGGTTGTTGAAGTAAAATATTTGCACTTCTTTGTAAGGGACTAATTTAGTGTTTACTTTTGGTGTTTAACAGGTATGACGTTGATACATTTATCTCACACAGGTATCTTAGCTCAGGAGAACCTGTAAGTAGTTCAAATTAATCAAATACATTGCTTATTTGAATAAGATGGTAGAAATAATACTTGGTCAAATTAGAACTTTAGAAGTGGATGTTGCTTGACATTTGGTGGAATGCAACGTGCTGCAGGAAGTTCTTGTGAGATTCGCGGGATTTGGATCAGAGGAGGACGAGTGGATAAACGTAAGAAAGTCAGTCCGGGAACGATCTGTACCTCTTGAGAGTTCAGAATGTAACAAAGTCAGGGTTGGGGATCCTGTTTTGTGCTTCCAGGTACACCTTTCTTCCAATGGACTCTCTTTTCCCGTTGTTCTAGGGGTAAAAAGGGCAAATAACTTCTTAGGTAGCGCCATTGATAGAGGGTCTAAGAATGAGATCATCAAAAGGTAGAATATATCACAATGATGGCCTCTGAGTTGCAGATATGTTGGTGTATCGCAGAATGCTTTAACTTTATATTTTGGTTTTCCTATTTTGATCTAACTAGGAGAGGAAGGACCAGGCTAGATATGTTGAAGCACGTGTTATTGAAATTCAAAAGAAATTTCATGATATAAGGGGCTGCAGATGTCTCTTTGTGATTCAGTATGATCATGATAACACAGAGGTGCGTTTTCATAACAGGAGAATATCTATCCATTATTATCATTTTGCACTTGGTTGGATTTACGTTATCACTTTTTGTTACTTCTTGCTTCAGGAAATTGTTCATTTGAGGAGATTATGTTTCCGGCCAAGCGTATTAGGGCGTCTGTGCCAGATTTAGGTTTTGAATATAATTATTGCAGCCCAACATGTTTTGCCTTTTGATGATGCACAGTTTTGTTACCTTCATTTGGCTAGTTGATGCAGTAGGTTTAATGCAGCTTATTTTGCTTCTTGTGGCCCATATCTAATCTAAACCAATATGCTAAAGGCATAATTTTGGTGAAAATTTCATATGCCTATTGTTTCGTATATCTGCATTCTGGGGGTTGGACAATTGTATTGTGTCAGAAAACGTTTCCCAGAACTCTTTCAGATGCAATTTCTAGTTGCAAATTTTAGTAGAAGAAAACAGTACATAGAAGTGCATTCCAGCAAGTCTCTATATTGTCAACAAGTGCTCCAAACTATTAGGGGTCGTTTGGTTGGAATACGATTTATACCGGTTTAAGTTATGCCGGTATAAGTTATATTGGGATAAGTAATGTTGGAAGTAGTTATGCTGGGATTGTTGTTTATTCATTGTTTGGTATGTTGTATTAAGAATGACAATTGCATACTTTCTAAGAAGAAGGTATAAGTTATACCGGTGCTAATTACCCCACCTTCTATAAGGTATAAGTTATCCCAGTGTTAAAATTAACATCGGGATAACTTATACCCGGTTTGCTAACCAAACAGAGTATTAAGGTGGTATTAAATTTTTATACCACCTTTATACCTTCTTTTACCTCGTACCAAACGACCCCTAAGTGGTTTATTGAATGGATAAAGTTACAAGACTTAACTTTAGACTTTAGGGTTGACAAGTTTCTCAAAAAGAAAAGGTTTATTTTAAGTTGTAGAAGCTTTTGTTCCTTTTTCTGTTGTAGAAAAAAACTCAAAGAAGTAGCCTATCTTTAGAAGTAGAAGTAAAAACTTCTATAGTTCTTTTACTAGACAGTAGTACTATTGTCAAAAAATAATATTTATCAAGCTATCCCCCAAAGTTTGGACTAAACCAATCTTATGCATCGTTGAGAACATATTTATGACTAAAGTTTCATAACTTTGCCTTCTCTCTATTTTGGTTTTTCATTTTTAACATTAAGATGAAATTGATAAACTTAATTAGTGTAACATTTATCTATTTAAAAAATACTAAATCTAAAGTAAATATTTACATGTTCTTTTGTAAAAATTGCATGGGACGCCCTATTTGGTCGCCCCTTTTTAACTTAAACCCGTTTTGTTTTTCCATTTGCATTCGTACCTATTTTTTTGTTAAAATCGTTTTAAAAAAGTGATTTTGCCCTTCAGGATTATTGAAAAAACTGTAGACTGTAGGATAAAATTTTAGCATGTTTTGGTATGAAGTTTTAGCAAATGAACTAAATAACTTCAGCATGCATTAGAATCGTTAGAAAATTACAATTGCAAGATAAACTTAAGCATGTTTAGTTTGAAGTTTAGCAAATGAAATAAAAAACTTAAGAATAAAAAACTTAAGCATGTTTAGTCTGAAGCTTTAGCAAATGAATTAAAAATCTTAAGCATGTTTAGTCTGAAATTTTAGCAAATGAACTAAATAACTTAAGCATATTTAGTCCGAACTAAATAACTTAAAGCATGTTCTTTTCAATAATTTGACACTCACAATCATTCTTTAGAAAGATTGACCAAATTGGAGAAAAAAGAAAAATGACCAAACACGAAATGTGTTTCTAACAGTAACAGAAGCGTTTCCTAAATAATTTGCTCAAACAAAACTGTGTGACTATCTGAAATTGTCTTTTAAAATTTCATTTGAGATAAGCACTTTCAATAATAAGAAAAATCTAAAATCTCGTCCAAACGAGCTCTGAATATGCTAACAAAGTTTAAGCGAAAGTTAATTGACTGACCGCTAAATGTGGAAACAGTTAACCACCAAAGGTCAGATGTCACCAATCAACTCTAGTCGTGTTGAAATGTTCATGATATTAGTAATGATTCTAAGAAACTATTTTTCATAAGAACTAATATCATAATTCATAAGGAAATAAGACATTATCCGTCCAAATTACTCATAATTTTCTATTTCGTGATTCGCTACTAATAATGTTCCGGCATACAATTTTCACACCTTTCAATCTCTGTAAATTTTATGACGTTTCATATGTCAAAAGTAGGACCTTTTTTATCAATATTAATATTTTTGTTTCACTACTACTATTAATACATAAGCTAAATTAATATTTTAAGCACCATCAAACGCGATCCACTAAATTGAAATTAGACCAATCTGTTATCCGGACTTCATGGTCTTTACCTGTTAATTAATCTCGACAGTGAAACTCTCTTTTTAATCTTGATAATAACGACTCCATATCTTCTTCTCTATTACCCATTTTAGATTTAGTATCTCTTAAGGCGTATGCACACACTGAAAAGTGTTAAATAACTCTTACATTAATACAGTACATGAATTTATCGGATCTTATGAGAAATCAAAGTAAATAGAATCAATGAAGGCCCATGCTTTTTCCATCTTTATTACGCCTGTGGTGCAGGGGCCAGTTTAGCTGAAATACTTGCTCAGCACACCCCGCGATCGTCGGTGAAGTCCGTTTCCTGATCTGCTATCTTTCTACATTTTAGAAGTTAATAGATCAGGTGTAAATTGCACTTCGAATTATTCCAGAGCGCTAAAACTCAGGCAAATGTGCTATATCAAACACTTGTAGAGCTTTGTGGCAGGCAAACTGCAAATCACAATTTAAATCTCGCAGTTCTCCAACCACAAGACAGCAACAATATCAGCATAAGGCAAATAGAAATCAAGTTCGGGTCCACTCCAGTGTCTCATCACACATCAGCTTGATACAGCACGAAGCCAACCCTCTGATATCAGTACTAACAGCTTGCCACTATCCGACGTACATGTCAAAGATCAGCGCTTAACCACAAAAAATGAACATTGATATGGTTGGTCATGCAAGAAAGAGAAGCTATACACTACAAGACAAGTAAAAGACAATCTGCATGGAGGGCTGCTGCCTTCCTATATCAAGCGACAACAATTTCCAGAAGGCAATTGAAGTTCATTTCACCAGTACAATATGTGAAGGCAGGTAAACCAACTCAAATAGGCAGGTCAAATCAAACCACTTAAAGGTCGCAATCGGAAATACATGCAGGAAAAACATTCAGCAGACAGCAGCAGCACATCCAAAGGCACTAAGTTTTACATGATAGCTACCTACTGAGTTCTAGAAGACTAAGGAAGAATGTGACAAATTGCCCTTTGTATAGCTCCAACTTTATGCCAAAAGTTAAAGGCCTGATGGAAGTTGGTCTTGACAAAAGCACTTGATTCCAACATCCTTGAAATCACCAGTAATTAATTTCAAACCACATGAGGTTCCAAAATGCATAAAAGTGATAAAACACATAATACAGGAAATAATTTTGAACCATAAGGAGCAGTTGCAATAAGAGATGACAAAAGGATCAGTTTCTTTCTGTTCCAAAATTTACGAACTTGAATTAATAAATACCCAGTTATACTTCACGAGCTGGAGTTCTCTTCATTTTCTAGCACCATATGATCTTTTGCAAAGATCCATCCCATGGAGCCCAACATATACCTCTTAATGCCATCTTGCCTAAGGCCATTGGTCCCAACTTATGATCTAAATCCTGTGGACAATTGTGGCAAACAATAAATTACAAAAGGAAAGAAACTATTGGAACTTACCATCAAGGAACCACGAGGAAAATCTGAGCATGCCACCTGACAACACCAGTTAGCCCTGAAAGGACATCTGGATATGACATACTTGAGGAAAACAGCGTGAAAGATATAAGTAAAAGACCTTGTAACAGAATAATCAGCAGACACTTCTATTTATCAGTCCAACAACACACACACCCACACACATTATATGCAGGTAAGGACAACTAACATACTTTTAAAGTGTTAATAACAAGAGGGAAGGCCAAGCTGGATTAGCCATGGCCAGGAGGTCATTCCAAACTTGTGCCACTCTCATCCCAGTGAAAACAAAACTTACACATTTCATCTTGGCTGAAATTCGGCCGGCTAAGCTTACCCCCTTCTTTGCAGCTCACAATTTGATTTATGGCACGAATGTACATTTCATGCACCTTTTCTAAAAAAAATTATAGCAAAAACCACCGCAGATAATACATCAATTTCTTCTAAGAAGCTTCCATAATCAGGGACTTCGTGCAGGTTATCGTTCAGACTGGCACAGTTTTTTAATAGTCTAACACAATAGATCACTCAGATTTTGAACCCCAGCACAGGGAAACAATCCATCAATCTATTACACCAACCACAAATAATTTGGTTCAACTATGAACCCTTAATAGTCATTCCACGATACTCCAGTCTAACTCTATTACACTCTAATACAGCGAGGAACATGATCTTTTTTAAATAGTTTATGTTTCAAAAATTTACTTAAGTGAAAATCAATTCTTCCTCGCGATAATAGTTTCTAATAGAGCTTTGGGTACCTAACGTTCGGGGAATCTTAAAAGCACAGTTGGTTGGCTACCTGAACTTTCACCTTGCTGGTGAGGGCACCTTGTAATCCCCTCCCCATTTCCCCTTCCCCCTATATATAATATTACAACAAAAAAGGATACCTAACATTCAGATAGTTGCAACATAGAAGTATTCTGAGAAAATTGAAAAATATGAACAAATTAACGTATTCAAGACAGACACCAACTCCAGAACACCATTTGTTGCATATGAGGGAAGAGAGACTCAGACTGGAATTTTCTGTGTCTGGAGACCAGAATGCCAAATACATCAAGAATGGAAAGACCAACAACCAGGGATTCAATTCAAATTCATGATCCCCGGAACAGAAGTTCAAACCAGGAAAAATTGCCAGAAAAAATTAAGAAATAAGGTCATATACCTTTAATGTCCAAGCTACTTTGTACTCTTAAATTGCAAGGTCATAGTACTACAAAATTAGATGTTTATCTTGCCTCTAAAAACTAATTATTGTTCAAACTATACAAATTTTGACAAGTAAATAAACCCCCATATAAGATCATGAACTGCCACGGAATTTAGGGAATGTCATCTCCAAAGGATAATAAAAGAGCCAGCTAGCCAAGGAGGAAAGACTGCCCATTTTTCTCCATTTAGATGAAAAATAAGCAAGCACTTTTTCAAGGCACATACAACAGAGTATCACATGATACCCAAGAAAATTCCCAACCAAATTTTTAAGTGCCTCAAGAAACAGTTCGCCCATAACAAACTGATGCAATGTAAAGGTTCTTGGCCCACTTCTCCTGCAAAACGGTAACATAACTAGTTAGGCCTAGGACCAGGGAAAAAGGTACGCAGAAGGCGAAAGAAATGGTCCCCATAAAAGTGAAGCGATGACAGATGGAATAAATGACCTTGACATGAGTGCTAGGAAAGGCAGAAGTACGAAGTGTCTCTTGTGTTTCATCCGCAGGCTTCCTTCTCGGAACACTTAGAACAAGAGCAGTTTGATCCCATGTGGCTGCAGTGGACGTGATACGGTAACCAGCATCCCACCTCCTATGAACCCCTTCACTAGGATAGAGAAAATCTAATTCCACCACCTGTAAATTAATAAAAACACATGATTACCAGATATCAAAATAGAGTGCACAAAGAGGATAAACTAATAAAAAGTTTTTTAAAAGAAAATTTCACAAGAAAAACCTGATCAGAGAACCCCGCCCCACGTGACATAACAATTGCCCATCTACTTCCTGCAGTTGCCATTGCCGTGACATAGAACCCCTCTCTCCATTTTTTATTTATCCACTTGAAAGGAAATGACTCGCTGACTTTGTAGGACTGCTGCAGATACTGAGTACCTGATGTTTACCACAGAACCTACTTCAGTCTGGTTTAATTCACACGCACTGTGACAACCGAAGTATAACAAGTATAATTTTTAACTGACCCTTTGACATAACTACTAAAGAGCTCCCATTATTTGCTCCTGCTATCGCACTAATATAATAATTCTTCTCCCATTGCTCCATGATCCACTCCTATATTCAAACATAAAATATGAGGAATTAGCCCTACCAAAGTGAAAGAAAGAATTGTATTTCCATCTGCCACAACATTAGCAGAAATATATTAGATTGCGTATGCAACAGAAATTTGACTACTCTTCAAGATTGACCACTCAACAGAATATAAAAGACCTTGTGAAGAAAAAGAGGTGACAACTCATAAACTTGAGCAGTGAACCCAGTCCCTGCATCCATAATTAGGGCCCACAAGTTCGAACAGGATGCCACGCTGCTAATGAATAGTCCATCCTCATTTCCTTTCTCAATGTGCTGAGCCAGCCTCGTATCAGCAACGTTATAATGATACCTACAAATGCCAGTTATGTCATTTCCTTTTACACAAGCTAAAGACCAAGAGATATCAGGTGCAAGTATATATATACACCTTTGCTTCATTGGGCGACGAGCATTGTAGACACTAATCCATTGCGTTGCAGGCATTCCCATTCGTACTTTCTTCTTTGGTTGTTCATCGTCATCTTCTTCCATCGTAAGCCTTCCTCTCTTTTGTCCAACTTGATATATAAGCTTCAATAACATAAAATGTGTTAGAAACAATTCTCCTGTCGCTGATTTTCAAAATCAAAGGATGCCCTGAATTAAGAAGATGTCAGGTTATACCTTCTGTGCACCATCAGTGTTGATTGGCCTGATGTCTGGATTTGGACCTACTATTCCATCAAACAGCGAGATATATTTCGCATAATTAGGTTCCTCGTCAAACTTCAAGTTCACAACATATTCCACAAACTGCCTAAATGGAGCAGGGCAGAAGCAGCAAAGTGTATCCGGAGAAGTCGCCATCTTTTTCTTACAGACAAGGAAACCTTTATTCTCACCCTATAAAAATCACTATCATGTGTCAACAAAAGGGATCTGTTAAGAAGTAATACTGCAATTTAAATCAAGAAAATGCTTACCTGATATCCCTGCCAAGGCAGCCGGCCTCGGAGAAGAAAGATGAGAGTGTAAGCCAGGGATTCTAGGTCATCCCTCCGACTTCCAGTTCTTCCGAGGTGAGCGTGCACACTAGCATACCTTACAGTTCCCCTAGAGCAATGATTTTCTTACTAGTCAGTGAACCCAGTTTGGAAATGCAAACCAAGGCACACAACATAGAGAGTAATTGATGACTACTGTACCTAAAGACATCAGGCCTTTGGTCATACTCAACATGAGAACCAGTTGAAGTATCGCGCCACCTTGTTGCTGCAACACTCAAACAGGTAAACACATAAAAATGTTGCACCAAAGATGGAACATGATGAAGATTGCTAAAATAAAATACAAAAGAGATGACTAATAGTTATCGAATTTGTTTTCTTTTATGATAAAAGCTGTATTTCCATGTATACCTAATCCAAGGTCAACCAGAAAAAGTTTTTTCTCGTCAGGAGTTCCAGGAGTCCCAAGAAGAAAGTTTTCGGGTTTCACATCTCCATGCACATACCTGCAGAACAACAGCACCAGTATGACAAGATTATTTCAGGTCTGTCAAAGGAATTCTCGTACAGAACAACCACAAAACAATAAGTTCACTTTTCCACAGCCAAACCCCATATTCTGTCCACAAACCAGAGACTAACAGACGCAAGATGTTGTGTGTTCTTACTTTCGTTGGAAGATAGATAGGTGGTTGAGGATATGTTCCCATAATGAGGCACCCAACGGTGTTGCCTAGTGGACAATGAAGTGGGTTAAGAAGCATGATATATCAGGTTCAAATCCTAGTGAAGACAAAAACACTACGTGATTTCTTCCCATCAGTCCAAGCCTTAGCTTAGTGGACAGAGTTACTTGGTACTCCCTCCATTTCAATTTATGTGAACCCATTTGACTGGGCACGGAGTTTAAGAAAAGAGAGAAGACTTTTGAACTTGTGGCGTAAAATGAAGCACATATATTTTGTGTGGTTATAAATCATTGCATAAAGGTAAATTGTTTCCAAATAGGGAAAGAGGTCATTCTTTTTGGCACGGACTAAAAAGGAAATAGGTTCACATAAATTGAAAGGGAGGGAGTACTCGGTACGTGTTGCTGGTGGGAGGTAGCAGGTATCCCGTGGATTTAGTCGAGGTGCGCACAAGCTAGCCCGGACACCATGGTTATAAAACAAAATGAATGTACACTATATCATCATAACCCAGAATACATAATTTCTGCCTAAGATGGAACACAGCCTTTAGCCTGTAGCGGGATGATAACCGCAAATCCATACTTACCCTCTAGAGTGCAACTTCTCAAGTATGGATATTGCTTCAATGGCAATGCATGCAACCATTTCAATAGACATCCTGAAATGGACAATGTAAAAATAAACAGAATGTCATTGAATTCCAGCGACCAGCAATAACCTCCTCATAAAATTATAAATACAGAATGGAGCTTACGCATGAGAATTATTGTTCCAGACATCCCACAAACTAGGACCAAGCATATCCATAACCTACAATCATACAAAACATTCTGTAATTTCATGGAGATTAAAGCGGAAATCCAAAGAGAGACTATCATAAAGTTATACTACAGTAAGCAAATCACATACCATAATGTAGTAATCACCTTGTCGTCCCTTGTAATGGACACGTGGTATCCCATGACTACCACCAAGGGCACTGCCACAAAGAAAAGCTATCAATTATAGGACAGTGTTTTTACCAGATATGTGACAATAACTAAGAGCTACATTACGAACGAATACAAGAAAAAGACTTACTTGTAGACCTGCCACTCATAAGGTGGTCCATAGTTACAACCTTTGCTACTTCTATGCTCAAATTTCAAGGCAACCTAGAACCAAATATGTCAATATAATCAACAAAAATATCAAAGAGAATGATCTTCAACTTTCTTGGGGGGTGGGGGCGCGGAGGTAAACACAGATGCAGAATGTTGTGCTTACCTCTACAGCTCCTGCGCCAGTTCTTTCGTGTGGATGTGACGGATTTACCCGACGACCTACATACACTTGACCAAATCCTCCTTTACCAAGCTTTTTGTCAATCCTATAAGCTGGTGATCCACCAACCTGGACCTGTAACACATAAAAGGAGATATTGCAATTGCAATGTTCAAGACGAATGCTTCAACCAGAAAGTGGAGGGAAAAAAACAAGAATAGCCGCAAAAACTCATATACGCTCCCAGCACTATAGACACAACATAATGTCATCAAACACCAACCACATTTATCAGAGCAACCAACATCAATGAAAATAACAAGAAAGCATACTCCGCTTCCTCTAACATTGTCAAAAAATAAAAACTTCATAGATCAACCCAAAGCCAATTATAAAACATCAAAATCTTAAAAGATATTGAGAGAAAGTTTGCCTGACTAAATACCCAGAGGTTTGTTCAGACAACCAAGACAAGATAATAGACCAAAGAAACTTGATAAATTCACATAATCTTAAAGACTTATACAAACAAGACCTCAAGACCCAAGGGTGTGGCCTGGTGGTTAATGAAGTGGGAGGAAAGCCATGCACTCTCAGTTCAAATCCTAGCGGAGTATAAAAAAACCACTAGGTGGCTTCTTTTTTTGCTTAAGCATTACTACACAGAGTAACCAGGTTGTAGGTACCCATGAAATAGTGAGGTGCACGTAAACCACCCTGGACACCATTGTCATTAAAGAAATAGACAAAGAAGATCTCAATTTAAAATCTCTTCCATAAACAAATTATAGTGAACAAAAGGCATAGACAAGCGATCAGTAAGAATTGCGGAGCTTATATATACAACTAAAAAACTGAATCTTCCATCATCATCATCAAGCATAAACAAAATAAAAATTAAAAAATTAATTTTAAAAACACAGCATCAAAGCACTGTTGAACTGAAAGAGAGTAAGCAGAAATACTGAACTCTAGAGAGAGACAGAATAAGAAGAAGAAAATCGTACCCTTTCAGGAAGGGGAGCAGTGCTACCTTCTTCCTCAGCTCCCAAACCCTTATCACCGCCGCTTCCACCGCCGCCACTACCGTACTCGTCCATTTGCTGCTTTTTTTCTCCTTCCTCTACTTCCTTCTTCCTATCCTTATCCTCCTCTGCTTCACCAGTCCTAAACGACGTCGTTTTCTTCACAGCATTCTCCTCCTCATCATCATCTACCACTACTATAGGTACAACTTCCTTAATTACCTCTTCTTCGTTATTAACGTTGTTCTTCTTCTTCCTTCCTCCAACGGCTCTATTTCCCGCACCCGCTGCTCTCCGCGTCCTCGTTGTTCTCCGTGCAACCCTCTTGTTCTCGTTGTTGTTGTTGTTTTCGGGTTCGATTGAAGCAATCGGTCGACGGCCTCTGCGCACACCGCTACGCAGTTGAGGCATATCGATCATCCATCAACTTCTGAAAACCCTAAACCGAACTTCATTAAAACAAGGCCCCGTCTTTTTCTTATTCTAGACTCTTCGACTGGGTAAAATTCAAAGATCTCCGAGAGCAAAAATCAGAAAATTAACGAAATCGGCGCCGGTGACGGATGGACTGACGGGCGATCAATTGCCGATGACTGTGTGTGTATGTGAATCTGTATGTATCTGTATATGAATTAGGGCTCGGATCTGTGATGAAAAAAATGGAAAGAACAAAAAAACCTCCAAACGAATGAGAGTGAAAACAGGCGAGAAACAGAAAAAGAGACTTTGCCCTCTTCTTTTTTCCTCTTGTTGGATTTCTTCTAAATGAGAGTAATGGAGTAATATTTTTTTTTTTTTTTAAAGGGAACTTTACTTACAACTTATTTTATTGCTTTATAATATAGGAGATCCTATATTTAATTTACTATTTTCTATTTTTATAGTTGGTAGGCGTGTTTAATACTAGTATGGTACAAAATTTAATCTAGAAAAGGAAAAGTTTCGGCATATAAGCTAAAAACATTATAACATTACCAAAACTATTTTTCATACCTTATTTTGTCCTATTATATGCCATGCCAATTTTATATGAGTACGATTAGAAAGCGTAATAAAATTTAAAAATTAAAGAGGTGGTAAACAAAATTTGTAGAGGACAAGTTAATTTTTTACAGTTTTTTTAATAACTAGTACACGTGTTGTGCGTGTACCCAATCTCTATGATTATAAAATATTAAAAAATCACACAGTTATTATATTAAAAATTATGTTTGAGTTAAATAGTAGTAAAAGTTAAACAAAAAAGTGTAAGTTCTTAAAATTAATGATTGTTGATTACATTTAGCTAACTCAATAAAGGTAGAAACTATGCACAGGTTCCTAATCATCTCTATTGATATACTCAGCTAAAAATTTAACCTAATTAATATAAATCACTATCGCAAAAGTAGAATCTAGAAAATACATTTAGATTAGTTTACTCTTTTTTTCATTTTGGAGTGAGCTTTTTTTCTGTCCAAGCTTATAAGCATGCATCCAGATTCTACGTCCCCATGCATCCGGAAGTTGCCTTTTTATGTAAGCAAGAGTATATGACTGAAATTGAATTACTTATTGTTGATGGATTCGAAAGGATATGTATGTAAATATTATTTTAGAAGGAGCCAAAATATAGAATACATATTAAAAATTAGAATTAAAATTTTGTTCTTTCATCAGTTTTCAGTTGATGTTTAGTTTCGATATGTGCTCATTTTATTAAAGGTAAGTCTGGTTTAGTCAAAAATATTTTAATAGTTTATAATCTTTAAAATACTTTTATAAGAAACACCAACAACAGACAACTCAGTAAAATTCCATAAGTGAGGTCCGAAGAGAACAGCATGTACGCAAACCTTACCCCTACCGGAGGGAGTAGAGAGACTATTTCCTAAAATACTTTTATAAGAAAACAAAATAATTTGTTTAAATAAAAAACTGAATATTTTAGTTTTTAATTTCTGTTGCGAATATAAATATTTGAATTTAAGAAATTGAAAACGTTAAAAGAGATTTTTATTATGTTACCAAGATAACTTAGACAAAATAATTACACATCTACTATTTGCATTTGAGATAATAACTCTAACGGTTTAATAAAGCACATGTAGTTTTAAACTGCTAATTATACGATTAAAGTTATTTTTCACAAGAAACTTGACAAAAACAATAAGTATAAATTTCTTACTTAAGTGTTATGTTACAATTAACAAAATATTTCAAAATATGCTATATAAGGAGTTTGCTACTCTTTAGCACGTTCCGATATTATATAAGAAGAATATTAATTGCTTATCTCAGTCAATTTTATTTTTATTTTTTGTACATATTGTTTACTTGGTTATAAAATATCTATAATTACCAAAAAATAAAATAAATATAAATAACAAGTCGTCCGAGAATAATTACAATAATGTAAAAATAATTTTCAATTTTATTAGGAATATATAAAAAAACATTATTCAATCCATTCCTAGTAAAATTAAATTACATTATCAAAAAGTTTATAGCGTTCACACAGATAAAATCTTAAATTTTTTTAGATATATCTCCGATATGTATGATTTTTTTGAGGTTAAATATCTAGAACAACAAACCTCATTTTTTTCTCACAAATAATTTTTGGCTTTGTAGATATTTGTGTGCAGAAGGATATAGAAGAAGAAGAATTCACATGCACATAATTGTAGACATAAATTGAGAGAGGACATCAAATATTAAAAAAAAAAACGTACCCACGATGATTTGGAATTGTCGCATCTTTGTTTTTGCTTAAAATTTGATTAGTACACCTTATTTTGAATAGTAAAATCTTAGTCGGTTTGAAGTCCCAAATATTAGGACCTAATTACTATTCTATATTTATATCTATCTATCTATATTATTATAAAAACACGAATACAATGTTGATAGACCAAAATAGCCCTAAAATAATTTTCACTAAAAGTCATAAAAAGGGATATAACTGGAAATAATACACGTTAAAATAAAGAATTGTAACTGTAATAGAAATAGTATTGATATTTAAGATCTTGGCCGATATGTGAAAGATATGCCTAATTTGTAATGGCTTCTAACAATTTATTTCCTTTTCGCAAGAACAAGTTTTAACTACTTAAAGAGTTTTAGTGCGAGTAGAATTAAAAGGATTCTTCGTCAGATTTTGTTATTCTCTTACCTGAATTTTAAAGCAAGACCTATTGCCTCAATAATGGATAAAAATATTCTTATTACATTATTTTTCACATAACTTTGTAGGTTATTTTGATCAAAAGAATATAAATATACTTCTAATCTAATACACTACTATTTCCGATGAATAGATTTTTATTGGAAATTAATGCCGTGAATTGGGTCTTTTGGGGATTTTTTTCTTTACTTTATTTTAAGTTTTCTTTTACTTTTTTTTTTTTGGCAAAACAAAGAATAATCTGCTGAAATAATAAATAATCAAACAAAATATTGTGAAGTAAATAAGTTACTATTCCTATCATGTCAAAAGTGTAATGAACTAATTTTATATTATTCAAAAGCTAAATATTTTTTATAAATAGTTTTGTGTTGGATATTACTGGGTATGTTGTTGTTGTTGAATAAAATTATAATATTTAAAGCTTTAAATTTAACTAATAATAGAGTTCTTAAAGATTTTTAATAGAGAATTATTTCATTAAAAATTCAGTTCCATCTTGAATAATATTTAAGATGTTTCTAAATAATAAAGACTTTTAATCAGTGAATTTATCAAAAGAATATGAGATTTAGTAAGAACATCACAGAGAAAAAGAGAATAAAAATGATTGAACGGAAAACGACATGTACCAACTACTCAGAATTTTTTTAGTTATTTAAAACTACCAAAAATTAATTGATATTAAGGAAAGATTAAAATTACAGAATGATAAATCCTTTTCTTAGATTAATCAAAGACCGTTTAGAAAGATTGAAGTATTCAATATTAGTTTTTCATTATATCGTCATAACACCTTAAAAACTTGAATTGATCGACAATCATGTAAAACATTTAAGTTAAACAATAAACTTTATTATGTTGCTTATTAAACAAAATATATATAATTTTGACGTAATATCGGTACTTACTGTACTACTGAATAAGGAAAGATTGACAAATTATTGTGACATAACACAACATAGATCAAATCGTGCTCAATGAGTTTATCGATATGCTTCGGAGCTGAAGCCATGAACGAAAAAAAAAACGAATAATCTCGATTTGGTTGAACTACCAGCGATAGAATTTATTTTAGCTAAATTAAATAATT